GAAAATGTAGGCCTTTTCAGAGTTGGTCATTAATAAATGTGAGAGAGGAAGAAAAAAAATGAGGTAAGACAGTTTGGAAACCTATTTGACGATACCTGCTAAAGTTGAACATATTTGTAAGCTGTTACCCAGCAATTCCTTGCCTGAGCATGTACCCGGAAAGTGGGTTGGTATGTGTGTTTTGTGTGTAAAGGGGGAGAGGGGTGTCTGTCTTCACTAAAAGATGTACAAGAAGGTTTATAGCAGCATTATTGGTAATGACCCAAATTTGGAAACAGCTTAAATGTTTATCAATAGTAGTGTGAATAAGTACATTGCAAATGATTTAGTTAATGGAGTAGTACATAGTACAGCCTGCAGGAGTGTGGGTAAATATCACATCTAATGTTGAATGAAAGATACCAGACCAAGAAAATCCATTACGTAGGATTCCATTTTTATTATCTTCAAAAGAGGCTGAAGTGTTAAAAGTCAGGATAGTGATACCTTGGTGAGAGCAAGAAAATATGACTGAAAGAGAGCGCAAGATGACTTTTAGAATTCTGAAAATACTCGGTTTCTTAAGTTGGGTACTGTTTTCTTTAAGTGAGTTCTTTGAACTTTAATGCTTAAGATTTGTGTATTTTTATTATGTATGCTGTGCTGTAAAAATATTTTAAACAAAAGAAATGTGACTTTATGTGATGGAACTGTTATTAACTAGATGAGCCATGTAGTAAAGACACTGAAAAATGTGTTGAGCTCCACAAAAGGATTTGAGAAGAGCTTAATTATGGAATCTATCAAAAAGGGAAATAAGACTTAACAACCTAAAGTGTACCATCTGCAGCTAATTTGGTTATGATAACTCATTTCATGCCAGTTCGTTGTATTGTGCATATTTGGTACTTGGAGTATGCAACCACTGAGAATTATTTAATAAGCATATAATTATAAACCATAAATCATTTTATCCTAGTCCTGTAAAGTAATCTGGATTATCCTCATTTTAAATCAGTTTTTATTTTAAAAGTGTCAGGTTCTGTTCGGGACAAAATACTGTGAAAAAATTTGATTTTTAGGACAGGAATACACTTCACTAATTGACCTGTTTTTATCAAATATCTTTATCCATATTTTCTATCTCTTTGGTTTCCTTCATTTGAAAGGGGGAAAAAATCATAAAAATGTTCTGGTATGTATTCAGTTTATATAATTGCAAACAAAAATCAAATAAATATTAGAATGAGATCAAAGGAATGGAGCCTTTCAATCATTTTCCCATGGGACTCGCTGAATTTGCAAGACAGACTCCTGTTTCAATCATGATTAAATACATGCCCGCCCAGTACTTTATTATACAAAAGGCAGTGGAGGAGAAAAAAATACTCAGTTGCCATAATTAATTATCATCTTCATTGAGGGGAGTGAAATGCAATTGCAAAAACCCTTGGTAAATCTGATTCACCTCTTTAATAAAATTGTAATTCTCTCCCTTATGTAGTACTTACAGATATAAAGTGTTGATTTGACAAGAGAAAAGAGGATCCTTCTAAATTAGCTAATCAAGTAAATAATCATTTTGAAAAATATTTATATTAGTTTATATGTTACTATAATATTTCAAGATTAGAGATCCTATAATTTTTGAGGAAGAAAAGTGGTTTGGTACAGAATACTAACATTGTTTAATAAATATGTCTTCTTTCATTGAAATACACTTTTGCCTAGACTTTAAAGATATATTCTTTAAGTTTGTTGAAATTATTTATGGTTCTTAATGAAGTGTGAACTCTAAAACCTAGGAGAAGTCCAAGGCATTCTAATTAATGAGTTCAATTCTTAAGGACCAGAATTCTGTGGGCACTTTGCCAACGACCCACCAACTTCTGTCTCCTGCCTTGCTAACTCTATGCCACACTCTGTACCAGTGAGACATAATAGTGGCTGTGTGTGAAGAATGAGCTGGAAAAACTATCAGTCTGGGTTGGGGATAGCACTTCTCACAACAAAGGGAGACTTCTGAGTTTTGATCTCCACTCAGGATAGGAAAGAAATTGAAATAGAAAGCCATGTCAGTGATTAGCTTGGTTTTTGTTACTCTGGTTTTGGAAAAAATTAAGAGACAGAGAGGAAGGAACCAGGTGTTTTTTCATCCAACTCACCTTTAATGTGGTAGCTATCAATCAAGGCCACCTTTGAGAAAGAGAATTGGGGAAGTAAGCCAGATCCAAAAACATAAGATAGTAATTGGTCCCTGACATGGAAACCCAAAGGCAGAAGGAATAAGCAGCCATGGAAAATTATTTATCTCCCTAAATTCACATCACCTCATACTAGCTTCTTTATATGTTATTTTGAAAATGGGAGCCACTGG